ATTCAAGCAAGAACTATCTGGGGTTGGTGCCAGTCTTGAGAGAAGATGGGTTTTCTGTGGCTTTGAGACAAGTGTTAATCCAAGAAAGATCTTGTGCATTTGATGGATATTAATCTCATGTATGGGAGCTATGCTTGCAGTTACATTCTTTTTTTTTATGTAATCATTAAAAGAGAAATGCTAATCTGTATTAGATTTTTAGTTTACCAAGTTCTGAAACTTTTCTCTTTAACTGATTATTGTATACAATTTTTGTGTTGTATTTAATCAAACTCCACTTTGAAGTATTTATTAGAAATAACATGTGAAGCAAGGTAAGTTTTCTCAAGATCAAAAGATTAAGTTAGCTGATAGCCAGATCTAATAGATAATTCAAATGAGTCCCACCCCCCTCCTACTGTTATCATATAATGTTTAACATAATCTATTAGTGGGATTTATAGTCACAAACATGAAATATGTAGTCTTATATATATATATGTGTCACTTGTCACTGTAATATTAGCCTGTTATTACTTCAGCTGTCATTATAGTTCAAATCATTTAATATTAATGTTAGAAAGACTGGTAGTCATGATAAACATGGGTTATTGTATAAAATTCTCATTGTTTTACCATTGAAACAAGAATTCATCACTTTGTACTTCTTATCATTGTTGTGGCTACACACTCTTGCAAACTGGTTTATTGATTTGATTTCATTTTCCCATCAACTTTGTAAGAACTGAAGTATTTTCTCTACAGATTTTTTTACTACTCATATTTTCACACATTACTGGGAAAGTTTCCATACTGTGATATAAATCAGACATATGCTTTTTATACTTGAAAAATAATATTGAGAGAAATAGTTGCAAGTTTTGACTTGTTAATAATAAAAACAAAAAAGGTTACGTTACTAATTGGTAAAGATAAAACTCTTTGTATACATAGGTTATCATAAGCTTTCTGACACACACATTTCTGAACAGTATATACTAAACTTGACTGTAAGTTTGTACAAATGTGTTCAGTTTTATTTATGGTGCCGAAATTTATAAAGGTGGATTAGTGTTTCATTTCTTTATCTGTGAAAGATGAACACTTGAGCATAAATTTGATTTTAATTTTGCTTTAGATGTAACATCAAAAATCTTTTTTTGTTGTTGTTGTTTTTTGGGTAAACTCTCGTAAAAGAAATTTTGTGTACAGAAGTCCATGTGTTTATAATTTGTTTCAGATATATGTACATGTACAACACTAGAAGACAATAAATGTTAAAGATGGTGAGGATCTGAAGCAGATTTTAATAACATTTTACAAACAAGAAACTTCCAGTTCTCTCATCAAATTAAGTAAGGTTATATGTCATGGCAATCCTTCTAGAATATACTTTGTTAATACTGGAGTATTGTACAATCTAAATATATAGAGATAGGAAAATATATATCTAAATTGTATTAAATGTATTATCTCCCAGAGTTTATCAGGATAATTTTGTTTTTGAAGGTATGAATTGTTTTTCTTGAGTTAAAATGTAAAACTTTGGACATATCTTAGCCTGCACACTTAGAAAAATGTAGATCAGGTAATGAAAGAGAGAAAGAACTTAAAAATAGTTATAGAAAATGAAATGTGACAGTATCCAGCAGTGACTTCATGAATTTGGATGACACATTGTCTTTTTCATAGAAGTATTTAGTTACAGTATTGGACAGATTGCAGACTTTGTACACCCTCACAGATGTAAAAGATGTTGGTTAAACTTTTTGAATTTGTTTCCAGAGAATACATTTCACTTGAGAGAGCCTGTAAAACATTGTTATTGTACTATACCTGAACATGACAGGTATTTGAATAGTACTTGATCTAGAAGAAATATAGAAAATATTTAAGGTTTGTTTGTTTGTCTGGACACCATGTAGAAACTTACACAAGTTAAAAAGGTGTGTTTGTACTTTCTTTGAAGACATCTACAGTACAAAGATGCTTTTGCCTAATAAAGATTGATTCTACCCTTAATGTTCTGTCTAGCTCTACTTGACTGTGTGTCTTAGGTATCTAGTGTCAGTATTTGTGAGTAAAAGTAGACCAAAAAGAAAGAATAATACATTTACAACAGGTAATAGCAAACTGGAAGTGTGTTGCTCTACTGTTTGGACTGTACAATGCTCCAGTAACTTTAAACAGATTAACAAAATGTGTTATAGAAGGGTTGCCAAGACACATGACCTTACTTTAATTTGATGACATCATCATAATGAAAATCTTACATTGGTGATTTTTGGCGAACTTTAGATAGTAATTGGAATTTTAAGACAGATAAGCCAATTAAAGAAGTGTAAATTCACTCACCACATAGTGTGTTATATTGAAACTTGACTGTTAAGAAGCCTAGTTAGAGTTTGCAAACAGAAGTGTCATTGGATGTGTGGAAAAACGATGTCAAAGCACTTCTTAAGAGTGTGGTTGTTGAAGTTCTTAGCTTACTTAAAGCAGTATAAAAATTGGAATAAATTCATCATGGTAAAATCACATTATTTAAAAAAATTTGGTTAAAGATATTTGCTGTAACAAGCTAAAAATTAAATGTTTACATAAAAGCTGATTAATAATTTCGTATTAAGATAGAGAATTGGCATATAACTTCATTTTGATCAAAGTTACTTTGAATACATATTTCATACTGAAGTATGAAAAGTAATTGATGAAAAGAAAACTGACCCAACAGATTCAGTCTTCTTTAGATGGAATGGTAGAATAGTATAAGAGTATGATGTTAAACCAACTATCCATTTATTAAATGTGGACAAAAGATCTGCCATTGTAATTCTAATACTCATTATAAACTGAAGATACTGCTGTATTTTAAGTATGATTTCTCCAAGGAATGGTAAAACTAACACATATTGCATCACTCAGTTGAAAGATACTACTGACACTGTAAGTTTGCCCATGAAAATCTGAAATTACTGAATGACAATCTTCAACGGCAAATATGGGCTATCAAGGTAAGTTTTAGAAAAGATATCTACCGACAACATACAAATATATCGAAAAACAAAAAGTATTTTATTAAAGGTACACGAATAGCACCTTTATATTGTGCCATAGGATACCGAAAGATATGTAGAGCCTTTTTTTAGGGCAAGTCCATGTTTTTAATAACTATTTATTGTGTTATGAGTTTAATATTATATTCCCGTTAATTGTATTGTGTTAAGTTATTTATTCATGCTATTAACGGGCAATTTTATTAATGAATGGTGAGGTGTAATGGTTGTGAACTATTACTTTACGTTTTTGTTGGAAGTGAGAATAGGTTGTTGTTGTAGCCTGAGAAACTGTGCAGAAGTTATTAGTGTTGGTTTCATGGTTCGGAATGGTACAACAGCTGGGGCTAGGAGATCATCTACAACTTATAGCCAGATCTGAAGCTACTCAAGACTTGAACACAGAGTTTAACGAGCTCAGAAGTCGACACAGAAGGAAACTTACTTTGGTTGAGTGTAAAAGCTACCAGGTAATTATGAACAGTATTAAAGCAAGAAGGTTAAGTTCATTATAGAATAAACCCAGGTAAAAATCCTGAGAGCTATGATTAAAGAAAAGAGGAGAGAGAGATAGCATTAACAGAAGCCACACTGTACGAATTGCATTTAAAATTAACCAAGAACATCCATAAGTACTGTTGGACAGGTTAGATTCGTCTAGTTGGTTGAAGAGTGAAGAATAAATAATAAGGTGA